AAGATTTATTTACCCTTTCCATGATACATACTTATAGATTATACCACAAAGTAATGTAACAATAGTAGCATAAATCCAATGAGTTGAAAACATTATAAATAAGCATAATAATGTTCCTAATAATGATAAAGTCCTGAAAATGTTAATTTTTATTTAAAATTATTTAAAATTTTTTTACAAATATAGAAAAATATACTAAATGAATAAATAATATATTATGAAAATAATTTATTCATTTTTTATTGCTTATATTTTAATTGAATGAATTAAAAGTTCGCAAAAATCAATCATTAAAGGATGAGAAAAAGTTATCCGAGAAGGATTATTCCAAAGGAAAAAGTGCTAAACAGTCAAAAGATGAAAATGTTAGAAGCAAAAATGAGAAAGATAAAAATGGGAAAAATGATGAGGAAATGAAAAAACATGATAAAGCAACGAAAAGCTCTAATGAATCAAATCAAAAATCAAAACAGCGAAATGTAAAAAGTGAAAAAAATTCAAAAAGTGCACAAATGGAAAATCCTCTAAAAAGCAGTAAACATGAAGAAAGCAGTGAAATGAAAAGTAAAGGTAAAAAAATATGAATTTAGTTAAAATTTAAATAAAATGATGTATTTTAATCAATTATTAAAATGATAATGTTTAATTGTAAATGATGTGCATGCATTTTTGGAATGATATATCACACATTGAAATTTATTATAATTTACTTAAATCATTTGAATATGCTGAAATTATTCAGATGGCAGCACTTCATTACCGAAAATACAAGAAAACAATAATGTTGGTAAAGTATCAAATCAAAAAGAAGCCAAGAAAACTTTTGCATAATCCTGATCCTGATGATACAGTGAAATTTTATCATTGATTTTGGAATTAAAAAAAGAAAAAGTCCCTCTTTTTATTATGAAATGTCATAGAATATATATAGAAATTAATATAGAAATATATATATATATATAGAAATATAGACTAATATAGAAATTATAAGGTTTAAAGTTTCAATTAACGGTAAGATTTCCAGAATTTTTTTTCCGGAAATTCTGCAAAAACTATTATCTAATAGTTTTTTGAACCCCATTTTTTTTCTATTTTTTTTTTTTGTTGAATTCTCAAAAGATTTATCTAAATGAATTTGAGCAAGAGATTAGAAATCTCCGAAAGTACATTCCTTTCTCACTCTCTTCTTGTAGAATATCGTTTATCCAATACAGTGCCGTAGAATAAGTATTGAAAATATCTGTGTCAGATAATTTATTGTTAAAAATTTTATTTATTAATATTCCTATTTTAAGTTTTAAAATTCATTTTCATTTATCGTTTATCAAAATATCACAAACAAAACTAATAAAATATAATCTAAAATACTGAAATGCTACAACAGACAATCATCATTCTTCATTTCCATCAATTCCAACGATTGATGCGCTTCCTGAAATGATGATGATGATGTGCTAGCAGTAATTGCTAGAGGAATCTTGACAGACTTTATTACATTCAGTAATTTCATTGAATCTCTGGTCGAATATTCCATTTCTTCCTCAATGTGTTGCTTAAAAAAAAAATTGTACAATTCCCATTTGTATATGGCAATTGTTTTAATTAAAAACTTAAAGGCTCAAAAGTGCCTTACTTGTCTTATCATCCCTTACTTGCATGATTTTCCTCCCTTCCTGTTTTCACCATCTAACACTATTATCATGGATATAATTAATTTAATTAATTAGCTATTACTTTTCAAAAATTTACAAAATTTTAAAATAATGCATACATCTGTTGTTGAATCGTGCCTATTTTTTGAATCTAGCTGAGTCATAGTTTGATGTGAGAAATTTGGCAGAAATTGAAAGCAAACACGTAGAATCTTTAAACTTCCTTCACTGCAATCAATTCTTTCTCTGTTTATTATATTTATCCTTAAAAGATGTTAGTAAGAATTGATGGAAACCATTCGAAATACAACTTAAATAATGATAATACTTAGTTTGAACTTTACAAACTCAAATTTAAAATTCATACTAATCCATCATTATGCACTTTCAGTGAGTACACAAGGAAGCACTTACCTGTTCAAAATATAAAAATTACAAACATATGAAATGATTACTTTGAATATTGTTCGGTAACTTGGGATGATTCGATTGTGAACTTTCTTCGCTTTTGATGCCAATGCATTTGAGCACGAGCCATTTTAATGCGCGGATTCAGGAGTGTAAATATTACCGGATATGCGGAGCAACTTATATACGGTAATAGATGAATGTAGTATGATGCTATCACAACTATAATTTCAATGCTTCATTTAAAAAAAAAAACCTGCAAAAGATATTAATTTTAATCTAAAGACAAAAAAAAGGTGCAAACAATACGTTGTAAAATAAGTTATTGCACAAAAAAAAAAACTTTTTTTTGACTATATTAAGCTTGCTTTATATAAACATTTGAATTTTAAAGGTTTTAATCATTGATAAAACTCTCATATATTCTATGAAATGTTATTCATATTAATCTGCTTAATTCAGAACAATTCAGGTTTGTTTGTGATTCACTTTGATTCCGGATTATCAGTTAATTCGGGATGAAGTAGTTATAACCCGAATTCATACGACACATAAAGATTAGATTTATAAAAAGATCTGGTGAAAATTGAAAAAGTTATACGACTAAATCGGATTTAATATTTGTCCTATAGCTGTCCTGCTTTGTCCTATTTGACGAAATGTGACATTTTGTAACACATATGTGACGGAAATGAAGAGTGTTCATGAAAAAGAGTTACCATATGTATTTTTTTTTTTTAAATTGCTCTCTTAAATTCTTCACACCTCAAAATTTAACAATTATATACGAAATGTTTTGATAAAACTTTGCGAGAATTTAAAATATTTATAATTTATCAAAAATTTCAGTAATTTTTTTTTTTTTTCTAAACAGAAACCATCCGTTCTTAGAATTTCTAAAAAAAAAAAAAAGTTACTGAATCAGCCAATCTATCAATAAGTTCCATTATAGAAAAATATTTAAAAAGTTATTCTGTTTGTAAAATTTAAAGATGGAAGAGATGAAAATGGATTATATCAAACTGACCTGCTCGGCTCATCCTATTTATAAATTTATGCGCAAAAATACTCAACCAATATGGTGACCAACAAGATACATAAATTACGGTAAGCACTAATACCGTTGCTATAAGTCGACGTAATGGGGCTGCATTACAACTGAAAAAGAAAAAAGAAAAAATTTATTTTTGATGCAATATTTTTTGGATGCATTTTATGATGCTAACTAAAACTTTTGCGCTTTTCACTTAACAAATTTTCCTCTCCTTTTTTTTCTTTTTTTGTTTATTAATTTTGAAAGGATTAAAAGTCATCATTATCGCTTCAGGACAAATAGAACAGAAGCCAAAAGCATCGTAAATATCTTGTCGATTTATAATTATCAGTATGCCATTCGTCCTAGCATGAACAAACAAAAAAACTTTTACTCATTTGGTTAGTTAAAAATAAATGCATAAATATATTTTATCAAATTTTGAGATCATAGGAAATTATTTT